ACATACAGCTTATCGTGCCAGAATGCAGCTGCTATTATATAACCATGGTTAGATTTTAGCTATATGCTAACTAAAAATAATTGCTGTGGAAGGTAAGTTCTGCTCTGCAGATATTACACAGGTTTCTTTTTACTACTGTGCATGTGTGTAAAGGACAGAAAGGCAGATGTGGCAGTGGAAGGTGTCAAAGCAGTTTGGAAAGAAAAACAAAGTAAAGAACAAAAAAAAGGAAAACAATTAATCGATTATTAAATTAGTCATCAATTATTTTAATAATCGATTAGTCATCGATTAATCGATTAATCGTGGCAGCCCTAGGCAACACTGAATATTTTATGTCTAATTGACTAATTTTACTTGAAGTACTGGTTATAACTTACATTTTATTTTGATATTGTTGAAAATTTGAGAAATGTTTTTGTGTGTTGAAATGGTTTTGCAATATATAAAAACATTCTTTTGTACTTCTGTTATGTTCATTTGCACTACAGCAAAAATACTGGCTTTGATTATGACTACAATTATCTGCAAAAAAATGCTCTAAAAATCACATCATCTTTGCTTTTTATGATAATTTTCTACTGTGATACTGTATATACCGTTTCTGTGAAGGGATTTAATTTATACCGTGATATGAATTTGAGGTCATACCGCCCAGCCCTACCTGCTTCTCTTCAGACAGTTGAGCGAGGGATAGGTTCTTCTTCTGATTTGTCTTTTGTGTTCAGATTTCTGATGTCACATTTCAATGTTTACAGTGAGATTTGCCGTATTTTCACATCACCTTAGTGGAAAAGCTTCAGAGTTCCAGTTTCCATTTCTGCTTCTTCTTCCTGGTAAGGTTCTGTCAGGAGATTATAGTAAAATACTGATGGGTGAGCAGTGAGCAGACACAGAAGTACAGTCTGCTCTGTCCTTTCTTGTAGACTGCTTCACTATTGAAATGCTTGAAATGCTGCTTCGTTGTTCCAGCTCAGGAACGATTACTCTGGTGGCATTTCACCATCCAATCAAAACATTTGTTTCATGCGTGCTGTATGTGCAACAGGTCAATGGGAGGAGTGTTCAAATGAGGCGCTGTGATGTAAGCGGTCAATAAATTCAGCCTTTAGAGGACGCAGCCCCTGAAGGTGCGTTCACACCGAACGTGATTTCAGCATCAGGTTTACATACAGTCTATGGTGGACGCGCTTCAAGCAGCGTGAGGAAGTTCTGCGGCGCCTCAAGCGCGATTAGAGCAGAACGATTTGAATGATCTGAGCGTTCAACGCGCTGAGGCGCAAATCGTTGAATTTAGAAAATCTGAACTTTTGCAGCTCGACGCGCCACATCAACCAATCAGAGAGACTCCACTGTGTGACGTAGCGACATATTTCCATCATCAACCAATCAGAGAGACTCCACTGTGTGACGTAGCGACATATTTCCCGACGGGACAGTTTACTGAATGATGTCCACTAACCTGAAACAGATGGAGAGGAGCTCTTTAGCTGAAATGAGTGCCTGCAGTCGGTGTCCTGACAGGAGATATCCTCACCAATGCGTGACAGCGACTCATCAGACTGGACTCGGGACAAAAATAGTCCTGAAAGCGAGCTGTGAGCCTCTGCTCTGAATTATCTGGTGAATTAATTATGAATTAATTATCTGATGAACGTGACATGCTCTTGCTCTCTGTAAAT